AATGAGGTCATTATTTGAGGAGGATCATTTCTATGAATAATGTGGATGAGATGCTGCACTTTAAATTTAACCCTTTATAAGAGGTGATTATTTTATTTGAGTTTGTGTGTTGTGTCTCTGTGTCCGTCACTCCTCTGTCCCTGACGCTCTGTTTTATTGACTGTTACTAGGTCTGTAACAATAATCAGTAAATCAATTAATTGTATGATAACTTTTAACAAGCTCGATAACTTATCCAGCCGCAATAAATTCTATTTGTATCTGTGAGATGAACATGAAGCCACAACACAAGCTAGCGCTGCAATCAGAACCAAAACAGTTCATCTCCATGTGACAAAACAAGCCACCATGCCAAATCAACATTAGTGAGTGGGACACGTCTCAACGGCCACATGTGTCAAATGCAGAGAGCGCAAATGACGAGAAGAAATGTCTCAAACCCCAGCAGCCGACATAAACCCAAACCTGAGTGACAGAACTAGCCCCGCCCCTGGGACAGCCTGAAAACCACTGAAATTCCACAAGACACCGACATGATACCAGACAGGACAAAGACTCCTTCACAGCGAAATAACATCCTGTGTTGAGAGTTAATACAAACATTTAAAGGACCAAAATGACGAGGCAACAGCAGCAGCCACAGAGAGAAGAGCTACAATATTCCAGTGTAAATCAATGAATTAAATCACTTTTAAGGGCAATTTTGTAACAGAGACTTAAAGGTTGTATGGAGGATTTTTTTTTTTGTTTTTTTTGTTTCAAGTTGTCAATGATAGCATTATAGAGGTGCAGTAGCCTTGTAATTATGACGACCAAAAAAAGAGAAATAAAAATTCATCAACTCTGGATGTGGTGGGGCTAAACATTTGCCAATAGATAACGACACTGCCTCGTTATCTGTTAGCTGACAGGCTGTCAATCAATCTCCCTACGTTTCTAGCGTAACTGACTTGCCTGCGCGCCGCCGGTACGTGGTTTACGTACGCCTGTCACGCAGTCCACAGACGCAAGCCGCACAGACGCTGTTTACTCCACCAACGCAACAGTTCTTAGCGGCTTTTTTTTGACCTATGTCTTCCTCGCAGTTAGCACAAAGTTTGTTGCAATGGCGACAAGAATCCAGGAGCAGTTCGCCGCAAAAGAAAGTCTGTTTTTGAGGTCGCTGAAAGAAGAAGACAAGGGGAAAAGCAGCGAAGCCAAACTAAGGTGATTCTTGAAGATTCATTCCAGCGATGGCGCAACTGAAGCAGACGCAGGGTCTAAAGACTGAAGCACTGGTCGCCAAATTACTCCTGGACAGGAAACTTCTGCTTATTATGAAAACGTACTTTATTTCCAAGAGCTAGTCAAAACGTTTTTCAGGACACGAAAGCGATATCCTATGTCTGAAAACGTAATTTTCAAGGCAAAGAAAGAGTCCGCATGCTGCTGCGTGTTGTAGCTAGTTCATTCGCACGGAATCTCCGCGCACTCTTCTCTGCACCCCTCTCCTCTCTCCTCTCTCCTCTCCTCTCTCCCTGCTCCGCTCTTCTCCCTGCTCCTCACTTCTCGTCCGATAACTAAATGTCCGTGCCCCCTCCCCCCGCTCCTCACTTCTCCGTCTTGCCTAACCAACACTGTAGTTAGTTGTTTACAAGTCATGTGCAGCACCGGCTGTAAACAAACCTGTTTCTGGCGTAAAGAGGAGGCGGGAGGAGGCGTTTCTACGTAGGAGCTGTAGAGGAGGGGGGGGTTTCACGCATGCGCAACATTTGAAAAAGGACAAACAGTCGCTGGATTTCTCGTTCCTTGGAAAATCCTCTATACAACCTTTAATAATCAATTTATTGATTGTTTTGGTTATGTTTGGTTCAGAAATGGTTTATTCAAGTGCATTTTTGTGAACAAGTCCTCGCTGTAAACCAGACACATGAGGCTATTTTTATGTTAATAAGTCTATTTTATTTGGGCCTGTTGTTTTTCTTGTCTTGAAGTTCCTGTGTTAAATGTTCTTTAGAAAGTCAAATTTATTGATCTTTGAGAGTGTGTATTTGCATTTTTATTCCATGGTCTTTATATTAGCTGAAATTGGTCTCAAAATGTCAATATTATTGATTATCGCAATAAATTCTAGGTCTATTAATTGTCCAGCAAAATCTGTTATTGTTACAGACCTGGCTGTTACTATAGCGCAGCTGATGTTTGGTGGTTATGATCTGACACTGACATGCACACACTTCACAATCACATAAAGACACAAAGTTGGGTCACATCTCCCTGAAGTTGGAGAGAAGAAATCCCTGCTAAACTCAGGTAAATCCTCCTTTAGTGTGTGGCTTAAGAAAAACAAATCATTTTTTAATAACTGTCAGAGGCACACACTGGAAGAACTCATATCCTACTGTTATTTAGGTCATTTGTTTCTTTCATGAAATATGTTAAAATATGACTCCATCTTGTATTTTATCTCCACATTTGTGCGTTTGGAGAATGGGTCTTCCTCCGGAGCCGGTTACATCCTGATGCAGAGGATTGCATAATGCCTTTTCCATATTCATGTCAGCGGAGCTCATTTGGTTTCTCTCCTGGTGGACGTGTTTCTCTCGTTTTCTTTTTACTTTCACAGATTCTCAGGTGAAGTCTGAGCCTAAAGACGCTTCAGTCGCTTTTATCAAGTCATTAATTCTGCGCCCCAAAGCAAATCTCCCCCATTATGTTAAAAAGAGGTTTTTGTCAAGACTTTAAGCTTTTTAGTGGATTTGTAATGAGGGACCTGGGTTAGACCTGGTTTAGACCTGGTTTAGACCTGGTTTAGATCTGGTTTAGATCTGGTTTAGACCTGGTTTAGACCTGGTTTAGACCTGGTTTGGATCTGGTTTAGATCTGGTTTAGACCTGGTTTAGACCTGGTTTAGACCTGGTTTAGATCTGGTTTGGATCTGGTTTAGATCTGGTTTAGATCTGGTTTAGACCTGGTTTAGATCTGGTTTAGATCTGGTTTAGATCTGGTTTAGACCTGGTTTAGATCTGGTTTAGACCTGGTTTAGACCTGGTTTAGACCTGGTTTAGACCTGATTTTAGATCCTGGTTTAGACCTGGTTTAGACCTGGTTTAGATCTGGTTTAGACCTGGTTTAGACCTGGTTTAGATCTGGTTTAGACCTGGTTTAAGACCTGGTTTAGATCTGGTTTAGACCTGGTTTAGACCTGGTTTAGATCTGGTTTAGACCTGGTTTAGACCTGGTTTAGACCTGGTTTAGACCTGCTTTGGATCTGGTTAAATGCTGATTTTGTGTGCTATAGTCCTGATTAGGTTCTGGTTCAGTCCTGGTTTTGACCAGTTTCAGGCCTGGTTTTAATCCTGGTGTTGTCCTGTCTTAGTCTTTTGACTGTCTTAAATCTTGTTTTTGCCCTGCACCTGTCCAGTTTGTCCCGGTTTATCGTGGCAGTTGAGTCGTGTTTAACCTTATATCCTCGTCTCCATCCACTTCTGTCATATTCAGTGTTTTGTCTTTGTTTGTTTTTCATGTGTTCATCTCCTCAGATTTTCCACTGAGCTGCAGTAGCAGGTCCTGAATTAAACCCAAACCAGGTCAGAGTGTGTTCAGGTTTGGGCTCGAGGCGTGTCTGTGGTGAGCAGCTCTGATACAGAGATGCAGATGTGAGAACACATGTGCTTACTCCTTGTCTTTAGTCGAGTTTTCACTGTTAAATAAGAATCATTTCAGAAGCAACTTTATCTGCTTAAAAAGACAATTACTTTTTGTTTAACATTAGATTTTAGTGTCTGGGGTGAAGGAAGTCTGGGAGTCCCGGCTTAGACTGCTGCCCCCGCGACCCAGCCCCGGATGAGCAGAAGAAAATGGATGGATGGATTAGAATTTAGATTTTAAGATTCTCTAGCTCTTTAGGTTTATTGTTTTTAGCAAACCTTCATAAATTATATATATATAAAAATGGTGTAAATGTGTTGTGTTACAGTTCATGCCTCATGTCTCAGACGCACTAACACACACACTCCACAACTTCATCTTTTCAGACTTCAATCTTGTAACTTTTTAATTGCACCAATTCATCTTTTTAAATCCAAAAATAAAATTTGTTTAAATTGTCTGTGGAAGGTTTTAGATCAGATTTGAGGTTTTAATTGGCCCCGAGTGTCTCAAACTCGTCTGTTATTATAAAAGTTGATTTGTCGTTTGTAGTTTCAGACGATCAGGTTTCCACGGTGACGTTCACTGTCAAACGTGTCACTGTGTTTTTTTTGCCATCCCACCTGGCCATGTTTTAATCCTCTAAAAATAAAATATATATATTTTGCTACAGTTATTGCTTTATTTTTGCTACTGCACATTTCTTTTGGCCTGTGGAGGAAAAAAAGGGAACCACAACTCTCTCCCCATCCTCCTCCTGTGCTCTTAAACAAGTACTGTTTAGTCCATTTTTATTTTATTTTTGGAAAGAAGACAATTTCACTAATGGTGCTTCTTCTATGGTGTTAAAAGTGTTTTACTTACATGCTAAACTTTTTGATGTGTTTGCATAACTTTAACTGTTGGTGGTTTGTTCCATTCTGTTATAGTTTTGAAAGAGAATTGTGATTGGTGATGGTATGTTTCATATCTGTATTCTCTTGGGTGTGTTCATTTGTTACATAAAATACCACTTGTCAGTCCTGTTTTATGCCCTGTTATGTATGTGTGTGTGTGTGTGTTAAACATATATATATGTTGCTGCTTGTATTTGTCAGACAAATTAAATACTACATAATCTTCTTTAACTAAATATCAAGTGTTTTCAAATGATGGTTTCATTTCAAATACTGAGTGAGCGTCGGCTGAGTCTTAAACAGGTAAGAAAAGGAAAGTAAAAGAAAAAGGACAGTGAAAGTAAACCAAATTAAGTCATAATAATCATGTTTTAATAGAATTAAATCACATGTAATCAAGGTCAAACTAAGTGTTTGGTTGTTTTACAATTAGTTGAAATTTGATCTTTATTTTCATATTTTGTTTAGCTAATTGTCAGAAAACAGATTACTCATTTATGTTACTGGTGACAGGTATGATTATTTGATTATAAAAACACACATCTGAAGACTTCTTTGTCAAAATGATTAATCGTCATTCATCTTGATTCCAAACTCTGTAGAGGTTGTGTGATGAAACCGGAGCAAGGCCTCTAATTGTATTTTTTATTAGGGTGTTTCTCATTGGCGCGCTACAACAAAATATCAGAATTAAATGTCACAACATTTTTACACATTTGCTTTAAAATAAACAACTTCATATACTCACTCCGTGCTCAAAATCTGGTCGGTTGTTTTGTGGCTCCTTGTTTTTATGCTCAGAACCTGGTAAGTTGTTTTGTGGCTGCCTGTTTTTATGCCCTTGATATTTCATATTGCGTAGAAACAGAAATCCCACAGCTCCAAACGCCGCCGCCGCAACAATCACAGTGTGTAGGGGCATTGTTGTCCTAAGGCTGTTATGACCTGAGTGAACTGAACATATTAAAGAGGTTAAAGAAGTTAATTAATTTATTTATTTATTCATTTATTATTATTATTATTTTTTTTAAAACAAAACACAAACACAAAAGGCTAACAGCAGCTGCCCCACAAAACAAGCAAGATGAACAAAGTATGCAGATGATTATTCACAAAGGGGCGCAAGCACCTGACAAGTCCAATCTTTAAAGCAAATCCAATTCTCTATTGAGAAGATAAAACATCTTTTGGTCCCAGTGATGAACCAATAACTTGCTTCTTTTTTATCAGTAGACAATCAAAACAAACAGTATCAATATCAAATGAAAATGTTACACAACAGGTTGAAAGTAGATTTTAAATTTCCAAACATATACATACTTCTTATTTACTGTATATAGGTTACGCTATATTTTACACATTTAGTTTAAATTGTGAACTTACAAGAGGGAATCCCACTGAGTTTGTTAGAGTCTGGTGTGCGCAGGTTGTCCTCGGTGTCTCTTCTTTATCTGAAGGTGAATCCTCTGCTGAAAACAGTGTTATAACAGGGCTGACTGGTTTCAAATTGCCAAAAACAATGATGACGATAACATTTAGGTAAGGATGTTTGTTATAGTTTTGGTTTTCGTGAGCAGTTTTCTTTGTTGTGTTGTCATACCTAGCAAAAACATTCTGGGGCTTGCCCAGCACATACTTTCTATTTAACAAGTCAGAGATTTACCAGAAGTGTCATTTCTAATTAAATTAATTAGTTCTTAAACATGTTGACGTGATCATGAGGTTAAAAAAAAACAAAAAAAAAACACTGACATTGGAGATGAGATGCTGGAATAAATGATAAAAATGTAATGACTGAATTCTGTACATTATAAATTGTATAGAAGAATTATCAGACTACGTCACTTGCACCACTCAAACTGGCCATAGAATAGAATAAAAAGCTGTTGAGATCAGTACATAAAAAGTTGAGATCAGTACATAAAAAATATGCAGCTAAACTCATTTTACTCATGGAAGTGCTACACAGACACATCACATCAGATCTGAAAATATGCAAATGAAAAGTAAAACCGGTTTTGGGGATGGGACAAGATCTTGTGCCTCAAGATTTTGTGAGAAACTTCTTGACTTCCAGAAGGTTTAGATCTGTACAGACATGTTTTTAAATCTGATTCTTGTGTTAGTTTTTGTCAGTTCAGATTTCAGTCTTTTTGTAAATTCTTCTGGACATGTTTAAAATCTGAACTCTGAACAGAATTAAAGCACAGATGTAATCACAATGCTTTGCCAGAAAAAAAATGCAATTAGATATTTTCCCAAATCTTTCAGCCCTGTTTTTCCATTTATTCCCTCTCTCTGCTTGCCTCTCCTCAGTGATGGAGTGACATTTGCAGCTGTCAGTGGTACATGTGGGCCACTCCTCTCACAGTCTACCCCAGGGCGATATAATGTCCACTTTGAAATCTAACTATCTGTGTGTCTGCGTGGTTTCTTATTCTGTGTAAAAGCTGCTAACTCTGTAGTTTCGACCTCTATAAACATGTTCTGAAATACACGGTTTAACAGTCACGGTTACACACATGGTTAAAAGTTAAACAGTCTTCTTTCAAATGTGAATGGTCCTGGACAGGTTTTGCATAAACATATGAAATAAAAGACATAAAATAATAATAAATCAAATAATAAATGCAATAAAAATGAATTTCCTTTGGGATAAATCAAGTATGTATGTATTTATATCTTGCATTTGTGCAGTTACAAGTATTAGCATTTCTAAAAATAGAACTTGAAAAGGCATTCTTACTCTGAGCACCATCTCCTCTCCACAGATCTGACCTGTAACTTTGTCTGGTGTTGTTGTTGTTTAATATACTGTACAAAGACCAGAGGTGGAAAGTAACTCATTTCAAGTAATCACAATACTGAGTAGATTTTTGGGGTAACTTAGATTTTTTATTTTATTTTTTTTTAACTTATACTATATGGAAAATAATTTGTTCCACTAGATTTTGAATTTTAAATGCCGTTGAATTTCTCACTTTGATTTTTTTTAGTTTTTTTTACTTTGAAAAAAGATGTTTGAATTATTTTTATTCTGAATGGCAGCTGATGAAATTTGAAATGTACTTTTTCAAAGTGTTTAAAATTCAATATATACAAAAACACCTTTTGAATATTTAGCACAAATATTTTCAAGTGCTCAAATTCAGCAGTCAAAATTCAGAATGTAAAATTTGCAGTGAAAAAAATTCACAGGAAAGATCCAAGAGGCCCAGGCCTAAGGAATTGCTCCAAAATGATCTGATCTATCCCATCTCATTTAGTAACAAATAGGAAATGGTGCAGTGAAGCGATCTGACTGGACAGAATTTGCTCCACCCAGACCCAGAATATTTAAAAGGTGAATTTTTTATTTAGAATTTGAAACATATTGAAAAAGTACACTTAAAATGTCAGCAACTAAAATTCTGTATAAAAATAATTAAATTTTCTTTTTTCAGAATAAAAAAAAAAAAAAAGTGAGAAATTCAGTGATATTTAAAATTCAAAATCTAATGGAACAAATGATCTTCCAAAGCACTGGTGCTGGCACTAAAACATTTATAATCATGTAATTGTGATTAATTACTTTTAAAATCACATGAGTCCTGAGTAAAACACACGTGCCAGTCGTCTCAGTCCACAGCTGTCTCAGAGACTGGCTGTGTCCCAATTCGAGGGCTGCAGCCTCCGAAGGCTGGTTTTAAGGCCGCATACGTCACTTCCGGTGAAAGAAGGCCTGTCCCATTTCATTTTTATGTCATGCAGCCTTCAAATGCAGCCCTAAAACCGGCCTCGTTTCCATGGAAATGGGGCCGCGAACGGAGGACACATCCGAGTATCCTTCGCAGCCTTCAGTATCCCAGCATGCACCGCGCGGCGCCAGTCACATGTTCGAAAACACGGAGCAAAAAGCCGGTCCCGAGAGCGGAGAAAAACATGTGAGTAACACTTTTAACTTTAGGAAATCATTACTAACACAACTGTAAACGTAAAATACGACCATAACTCCCACAAAACTGTCAAATAAGTTTGTTTTTAACTGCGTGAACCGCGGAGTTTTGAGCTAAAGTTTGCCTAGTAATGTGCAGCTAATGCGATGAAAATTGAAAAGTCCGCTCAAACTTTCATATTTGGACACATTTCCATCAAACACTCATCATGTTTTTACTGTTGGGGAAAAAAGCCCACAGAGTGATTTAAAGAAGCAACGAGGAGAAAACTCCACGTTTTCACGGACAGTGTAAACATGTAAACAGTGGTCAGTGTAGCTCGGAGTTAAGATGAAAACACACATTATTTCATACATTCAACTGAAAAAAGACTCAGTCTGACTCTATCAAAGCTCATATTTACTTGTAAATCACATAATATAAGCCTCCAACGTGTGCATTTCATTCAGGGAATACATTATCTGCTTTTAACAATCCGTGCATGTTTGTAAAGTGAGAGAGTATATAATATCCTGCCTGGACAGGTCAGATTTATGATGGACATGAGGCTCGTTTAACAGATTTGTGCAGACACTGGTGTATATGATGACCCGACGTTCTGTTTGGTCTGTCACATCTAATGTTATAACAATGAGAAATCTGTTTTACATGAATTTTCTTTTCTCATCTGTAGCCTCCTGTATGAGGACACGACACACTGCAGGGGCCACAGAACTGTTGGCTGACAAGATGCTTGTGATTCATAAAATGGGTCAAATGCAGATGACAAAGTAAAGCCAACACTGAGCTGGAGGTGCTGACCCAGACTCCTGCCAACGATTAGGTATGGGGCATGTTACATTGAAAATTGTACTAATAAAAAGAGCTGCAAATGAATCATGCTTATGTTGAAATTATGATTTAAATTGTGAAAATATGTATTTCTCAAATGTGTGGGATTCCTCTATTCATTTAGCTGTTTCAGATATAAACTGCCTTTGAATCTGAATGTACATCAAAGTTTAAGTTCAACGTTAAAATAGTTTATTGTCAATTCTTCATACGAAAAACATATAAAGAATCGAAATTGTTTTTCTCACTTCCTTGTGTATAAATAAATAATAATAAATGTAAATAGTGCGGAGGGAGTCCAGGTGTTCTTTGGGCTGCATGCTCTGTGAAACTTATTTTCCTCTAATAGTTTTGTAGTGTTCTTAATGTGTGTGTCATTACAGGTTTCACTCTGCAGGACAGAACTTTGAATCAATCAGACGCAACAACCATTCTGCTCTTCCTCCTCCAGAAGACGAGAGACACATCAGACTGAGTGGTCCAAGTCCACGTCCATGTCTCCAATGTCCATGTCTCCACTGTCCATGTCTCCAATGTCCATGTCCAGAGTCTCTGAGGAGCAGGTCCAGAGTCTTCATATGATCTGAACAAGTGTGTGAGACAGAAATGAAACATCTGCTCATAAGTGTTTCTGAATGTTTTTCAGCCTGTACTGACATTTGATTTATGGTGAAATGTGCCATTTATTTGGTGTCTCTTTTGATAGTAACTAATTACATGTACTATAAGAATGTACTATTCTACTGCAGATAAGCTGTGGTATTCCCACATGATCATATCTGGCAAAGATAATTTGTTCATTTTTGATTGTCACTTGCTTCAACAAAAAGGGAACACAATGAGATTTACTGACATACAGCTGTTTGTACTAACCTGGTAATGCAGTGTGTGTGTAATGGGTTTAATATTTGACTTCATATTATGATAAAGTATTTCCAGACGTTCCTTGGATTGTTTAATAAATCATCTTTTCTCAGGAGAGATGTCTTTCTTTCTTTACAAACTGACTGTATAATGTAATCCCTGGTCAATATAAAAATCCTTAATAATGATAATATTTAGTAATACATATCTCATCACAGTTTTTTTTTAAGTTTAAGATAATTTAGTCTATTTAAAATGTATCCCTTAAATATAGCCGTTTTGTTTTGCAAAAGTTAAACATACATTTTCGGTTTTGGCCATAAGATTTGGATGCGAATTATTAAAATAATTTGGTCACAAAATCCGACAGTTTGATGACCTGTGCGTATTCTTTTTACTGATCCGTGTGCGTAATCTGCGCGGAGCGTGTTAGCATTAGCATTAGCGCTAGCAGCGTCCCTCGGTTGCTAGGCGACAGGGGAGCGGCTCCGAGGTCTAGACCTGTCCCCATTTCCGCAACGGCCTGGTGGTCCGCGAGGCCAGTTCAAGGGCTGCAGCCTTCGCGGCCGACGAAGGACCCAGCCTTCGCAGCCTTCGGAGGCTGCAGCCCTTTGAATTGAGACACAGCCATCTGTTCCCTACTCAACCGGCAAACCCACGTAACAGCATCGCCTGCTCTGATTGGCCAGTGCTCAGAGAATATGCAGATTGTGTTTTAAAATGATTAATTATTGAATTAATCTGTATATTCTTCAGCTTTAACCTGTTTGATTTATGTAGAATACTGATGCCATTGCAAATAACTTAACTAGTATGCTGAGTAGTACTTTTCATGTGTACTTTGTACTTTTATGTGAATACAACTTTGGAAGCAGTACTTGTAATTGAGTAGGTTTTTAGCCTTTTAACTCTACTTTTCCTTGAGTGCAAATTTGCTGTACTTTTTACTCCGATAAATACATAGGTTTTTATACTATGTTGAAATTAATATCTAAAATAAAGTTAAAGATGCATTGTGTAACTGGTGGAGGGTCCATCAAACGCTTTTCTCCCTGGAGATATTGCTTCATCTGGAATGTTCCACAGTGTGGCATTAAACCTTTCTATCTTCATAGAGACCAAACCAGGCCAAGTTACAGGTCAGATCTGTGGAGAGGCGACCCCACTCACAGTCACAATGTCTGTTTTTCGAGGTATTTTTGACACATAAAACCACCTGTGATTGAATAAATGTAAGGTAGAGCTGTTTAATGTCACACTGCGGAACATTCCAGGCAGAGCAACAACATCTCCATAGAAACAATTAGCTGACCGACCAACCACGAAGTTACATAGTGCAAGTGGAATGTGTTAAGTGTAAAGTGTACTATGTTCTAGGGGGAAAAAATGTCAGCCAAGTCATGAAAGTGAAAGCAACAACCTAAAGCATCTTTATTATTGCACATGTCCTGATTAATATTTAACATGCAGATTTATAACATCACTGCACTTTCCCCTTGAACAGTTTTGTCTTCAGATTATTCAGAGTATTAAAAATAAAATATAAACAATTACATGAATCACTTCAAATATGTGCAGTTTACACATAGAAAGTATTTTAAAGGCATAAGTGTTTCTTCTTGTGGGTGAACTCTCACTGTCCAACTCTCCAGACACGGTGTGGGTTTAGCATGAGCCTGGAGCCAGGGTGGTTCATGTGCAGTCCACTGGGAGCAGGATGAGTCCATGACGATGTTTGGTCAGAGGCACAGTCATCAGAAATATATTGGCTGTAAATTAAATGTTAAAAATGCCACCTTCATAATTGAAAAAGGGACATGGGGACAGTAAACACCACTTATAAAGTTTTTTCTAAATTACTTGTTTTGGATTACCTTTGATTATTGGATTGTTTTTGCTTTTCCTTTGCCAGGTTCTGGTTTACTGTTGAGCATGTAAACTCCCTGTAACAATAAAGTCAAAAGTTAAATTTTAGAAGTAAAATATAAGACATAATTATGAATACTTACGGCAACCACTGCACCCATACCCACTGCACCCATAGCAATTACAGTAGGGGTGGATATGGTCAGGACACCTATCGTAATAGTCATAACCAGGTCCTTTCTAAAAAATATATATATATAATAATTTGGTATTAAAAATATTGATATAATATATTAGGTATGGGAATCTATGGGTGTTTCACAATTGACACAATCTATGGGTGTTTCACACTCTGAAGCTCACAAACAGATGCAGGATCAGTGCATGTTTGTTTTACTATAAATACATTTGACCATCTCTGACAAGGAAAAATGTTTACACTGCAACCTAACAGCGCCACAGCTCAAAGAGTCGTGTCTGAAAACTCTAATGTGAATGAAACAAAGCCTCATAAGTCGTGAACAGAGAGATGTCCCTGTAGGTCTCTGTGTGACAGTGGACAGCTGAGATCTGTACAGGCAGAGCACCAGCTTCAATTAAACGTAACATTTAAATTTATTGGTGTATCAGGTTTTATTTGTTTGGCTTTTTTTTTTTGCTAGAACTGATGATACATCTACAAGACTATTTTTCCCATCCCTATTATATTTATTCTGTCTCAACTCTTATATATATATATATATATATATATATACATACACTGTTGGGCAAGTTACTTTAAAACTGTAATGCGTTATTTATGACTTATTACTGTCATTTCAAAGTAATTCGTTACATTACAATATTACTGCATTTAAAATGTAAGGCATTACATTACTATTGCATTACTTTAAGTTACTCTCACCAAAATAACTGCGAAAAAGCTGAACTTTTGAGCCGTATATGGACTGAACCAGGACTAAACAAGGTCTAAACCAGGTCTAAACCAGGACTAAACCAGAGCTGAACCAGGACTAAACCAGGACTATAACAGGACTAAGCGCGAAACTTCTACCTTCCTTCAGCGTCTCCAGAAGTCCAACTTTTTTGTGTGATGGTTTGCATCTTCCTCTGCCTTTTGGGTGAGAGCGCAGGAGCCTTTGTCGGTGCAGAACGTTTCCGTCGACGTTGTGGGTTTCGTCGGGGAGAAAACTTACAACCGTACAGCACTTCAGAATCACACTGCTAGAGACTGAACATGTATTTAAATTTGGCAGCTGAACACATTCTGTACTGTACTTTACAGGAGACAGGAGTCCCTTGGCCAATCAGGACGCAGAGGGAGGAACGCAATAAACGCAATACACATTCATACAATGTAAAAAAAAAAGGGCATGCAAAATTGCACAAAAAAAAAAAAAAAAATTCTAAAAATCAGCAAAACAGCGAGACCGCGAAAAGTGAATCGCGAGCGAGCGAGGGACGACTGTAAGCCAGGTCTAAACCAGAAGTGACTCAGGTCTAAACCAGGTCTAAACCATAAGTGACCCAGGTCTAAACCAGGTCTAAACCAGAAGTGATCCAGGTCTAAACAGCGTAGAGTTCTGTGTCGGTCCTCTCACCCGCGGTTAACTGAAGGTCTATCCGGCCGCGTCCGCGTCTCTGGCGTTTCACCGCTGCTGATTTCACGGTGATTTTAGCGAATTTCTATGAAGAAAAACCCACCACTTCAATCCAGGTTAAAAAAGCATTGTAACGCGCGTTACTCACATTTGTAAAATATTACAATTTTTCCCCCTGTAATGTCTTACATTACTGCGTTACAGCAAAAATCAACGCATTACTGTAATACATTACTTTTATAATACATTACTCCCCCAACACTGTATATATATATATATATATATATATATATATATATATATATATATATATATATATATATATATATATATATATATATATATATATATATAGTATATATATTATTATATTTTATGTATTCATTTATTTAGTATAATATTGTATAAAGTATAAACTGTTGACTTACATGTCAAGTACCATGTTGTTCTCTGTAGTTCTGGTGTCTCAGGTAGTTTAGGTAGTACTTTTCCTCAGAGCTCCTGTGAGTCGACTGTGGTTTTGTTTTTCTGCTCACTGCTGTTCAGATCTCTGCTTATCACATCCTGAGATGGCTCCACCTAGGACAGCACTGCTGTATATGCTCTGTGTGGCTGGCACTGGTGGGGCGCCAGGGTCTGCAAGTCCTTCTCTGTTGGCCTAAAAAAAAAACTCTGAATCACAGACTGATGTTAATATTATTATAAAATAATTCCAAATGTTCTGTCCTCTTTTTCTGATGCTTGTGCTGCTTTCACACATAGATTTTCATATTAAAGCATTTGACCAATCACATTTCAGCCGTCACTTGTTGCCAGGCAGAGTCAAAGTCAAAGAAGTTTGAGGCCTTCACAATCCACTCTGAGGGAACTCGAAACACTAAATAAATGTCCATGAAACTGTTGCTTCAACCAATCAAATTTTGATTTGGTATCATCAGGGTCTTTAGCAGCAAACGACCTCACCGGATTCAGAGCCGTGATTGGACAGTCAGAGAAAGAACCAGTCAGAGCAGCAAACTGCATCTGTAGAGGAACCAGGACTAAAACCAGGACTAATATATATATATATATATATATATATATATATATATATATATATATATATATATATATATATATATATATATATATATATAT